ATGGCATCGCTGGATGCCCTTCAACACCCTCTCCAGAAGCCACGCATCTACTAAGGGGCCGGCAAACCCATTCTCAAGGTGGGCTTTATGCACCGCACTCGCATACACAGATACAGTTCAGGGCACGCTGATCATAGTTCACGCATGAATGTGTGTCCAGGAACGATGACTCGGGCAGCAAAAGTGAGCTTCCCCAGGAGGGACTCGAGTTGACGCTGGCCGATGCTGCGCTCGCTGATAGTAGCCATGAGTGGCGCACGGATCTCGGACAGCTTGTCCTCTGGTAGCCGCAGTCTAGGAAAATACCAAGGTGAATGATGGTGATGGCCCTCGAGCTGGGATGGAGCAAAGAGGAGTGCCGAGATACGTGAATGCCCGGAGGGGGGGGGGGTGGTGAGTTGCTGGTTGGCTGCAGCCAAACCAGTGGAGATATCGAGAAAGTCATCGAGGTAATGAAGCCGGTGATCTATAGCAAAATCGTGCTGCATGATCCAGTTGACTGCTGTGGCTACTGAGTCAAAGACGGCTGGGCTGGAGCGGAGGCCGAAAGGCAGAAAGCGCTCGTAGTAGTAGGAGCCTTCCCAGCGAAGTCCTGACGGCGGACTGGGATCTGCCGAAATGCACTGCGTACATCGAGCTTGGACAAATACACAGGCTGTGGGCATGACATGATGATGTTGATCGCGTTGTCAATGCTCGCGTAGTGCAGAGAGAGCGGCTCGGCAGGAATGCTGTCGTTCGCGCCGGTGCCTTCCGGACTAGACAGATGGTGGATCATTCGCAGCTTGCCGTTCTTTTTGGGGATGGCACCAATACCAGAGCGGCGCATGAACTGAAATGGAGGTGACGGAAATGGGCCTGTGGTCTCGCTGCGGGCGCAGGAAGCAGCTAATTGCTCGGATATAAATGCCGAGTGAGTGAAAGCCAAGGGTAGATTATTAAAGAAAACCGAAATGTCGTGTTGGCCGGCAGATCCAAGAGTAAAGCCACGGCGCAGCCCATGGAGAACATACGCAACGCATTATTGATATGAGTGGTTACGTAACAGGCGGGCAAAGTGGTCAGCTAGCAGTGTGGTGTCTGCAGAGTGTATAGGAAAGAAGCTACGTACGAGTCAAGCTATTCAGTAGCCATTCTGCTAGGAGCGGCGGGGTGGCCGATTGGCTCCGCGCTGCCGCTGGTTGCACATGATGCATGGGTGGTCCTTGCCACACTGGCTGCAGGTGTGGGAGAAGCGGCACGACGACGAAGAACAGCGACCTCCATTGAAGTTGCGGCAGATTTCTTGGCTGTCGCTGGTATGGTTGCGACCACTGGAGGTAAATGCTGCTGGCTTGGGGACGAAAAGGACACAAACCGCCCCCGGATGGGCCGTCTTACATTGAGCGCATTTTGGGTGTGCATGGCTTGTGACAGCTATCTGCCATAGGTTCACGTCGATGGTGTCCAACCTCTTCGTGCCTGGTTACTGGGCCACGAGCAGCCGCAGCTGGCGGTCGTACTCTAGCCACGCGCTTGGGAAGAACTGGCGGTTAGCAGTCAGGATCAACTGCTGGTACGCAATCAGTTCAGCAGTTCAGCAGTGCGGTGTAGGGCAGCAGCCGTGATAACAGACATGTATGTGGTCCATGCCTCGAGCCGGGTAGTTACATGTATAATTATCGTGAACCTTGCGACGCACCTGCTTCGCGTACGATCATCCGACTCAACGATATTTAGCTGGCTATCGTTATTCGGGCTGTGCACCAGCCGGAATGTTGGGCCGGAAGTGTGCAAGAATTTCAGGCAACCAACTTGAAAAATCTACGAACTCCCCTCGCAAGATACGTTCTTGCACAGCCTTGGGCACAGCTGGTGCAGGTGGCTGATCGGGTGGGTTACAAGGGCTTGGCCTGGCGTAGTGGCGGCAGCAGCCGCATTGCCTTGGCCTTGGGTGAGGAGCGGCACAATGCTCTCCGATAATAATAAAATGGCGGCCGACAAAGCCGACTACACCTCGTCACGTAGATCTACGGGAGCGCAGATCCCATGTTGAGCCCGCGTCACCTGAGCTGGCGGAGGAGGCATTGGTGCAAGTCGGGCTTCTGGGCTCGCGAGCCGTGTCCGCACTGTCATGTTGCTGGTTCTCCTGGCCGGAGCAGACCTCACTACCAAGGGCTAGTTGTGCCAGCAAACGGTCCTGTAAAATACTTTTACTAAGTTTCCTTTCGGATTCAAGCCGCGCTGAGAAGGCTCGCCGCGGGGGCTTGGCAAGGCATTGCCTTGACAGTGTCGACAGTTAGGTCAGACATACTGAAGAAATACAGTGTCGAGGTGACACTCGGGCTGGCAGCAAAGCTACGAAAGGAAAAGAAACACTGCTGAAGCACGATCCGTTGTCTGGAAGAGCACAACAGGGCAAGCAAGATTTGTTTTTCTTTTCCGCAAAATGGGCTGGTGCCATTTGTGATTACGCAGCAAAACAAAGCGCATGACGTCAGTCTTGAATGCAGTACAAAGCAATGCAGTGCAGTGTGTGCGCTAGTTCGGATTGTTGCTAACAAGTACTAGCACAGCTAGTACACCAATAACGGGCCACAGTTTGCTTTCGCAAAATGAATTTAGTAAGCGGTTCGATGTAAAGCCACTACGCGACACGTTGCTGCTAGTTTTGCAGGAGCGCTACATGACTAGTATCTGCTGCAGGTGGGGTACGCCCGACAAGACTAGAATGGACAACGGGACTGAGTTCCAGAATACTCTTGTCCAGGCCCTCCTCACCCAGTTCGGCGTGCGTGTGAAGACGGGAGCAGTTCATCACCCACAGTTGCAAGGCGGCGTGGAGCGCATGAATCGGACTCTCATCACGCTGATGAGGAAAGTACTAGATAAAGTATCGGACTGGAGGAGGGAGCTCGACCTCCTGCTGTTCTACTACTGTTCCCGGTCGTATTCTTCGACAACAGTGTCGCCTATGCGTGCGATGTGAGCCTAGAAGCCCCGGTCATTAGTTCTGGAAGCGTGCCTGGGCGCCCCTGTGGTGAGCGAGTGGGTTAACAAGCTGAGTGGATCGGCTGGCCATGTACACGATGTTGTGGAGAGAGAGAGAGTTGTCTGCATCGAGCCCTCCACAACCACGCAGCAGCAAACAGTCAACCTACATTCTCGGTGATATAGTACTGTTTGTACGCCCCGGGTGTCACCAGAAGCTGCTCCCGCCATTTGAGCCTGGCTGGAAAGTGGAGAAGAGTGTATCACCATCAATTGTTGTGATCAGCCATGTCAATGGCGCAGAGACAGTGGTCAACATTGACTGTAAAGGGAGGGGTGACTTGAATTGCCTTACATTACTACTGATGTCCATAGCGCTTAGCCGAGTCCTGCCAAGAGTGACAGTGATAGTGACGCTAGTGATAGTGAAGCCGTCGCCCTGGAATTTGATGGCGGAGACATTGACTTGGTCCCAACCTATGATCTCCATGCCCCAGCTATCCGTCGACGCTCAATGCGATATTGTTCCTGATTAGTGACGTCTGGAGGGAGAGGTGAAATAGATTTGCCAAGTCATTGTCAACGCCATCTCATCTCTCTCTCTATTCCTTTCTTGATAACAAACATATTTGCGGTTGATCACTACGTGTCAATTCTTCTTGAGCTTTGTATTATTAATTCGCACTGTATTCGTGACAGTCTTCCATTTTCCAGTACTGTTGTGCGTGCACACAATGACGTAGGTCGCCATTTTGTCCGTGGCATCTTGATGCGCAAGCCTTTATCCTTTTAGTCCTTCTTGTGCAAAAGCAAGTAACTAGTCCAATGTCGAGTGGGCTGTGAGTGTTGCTTGTTGGCCAGTGCAGACGGGGTTGTTCACAACAACACCAACCATAACGACACTGTTCTTGCATGTGCATGACTACTCACTTTCACTTTCCTTTTTTATCTGATGCCATCCATGCAACGTCAACATAACTGTTTGCTTCTAGTTCATGCTAGGTTTTCACCCTCCATTTCTCACATCACATCGTCTTCCATATGGTAGATTTGAACATTTAGCTCTGCTCCTCCAAACGGGCATTGGCTTCACTTGTTCCTGCTCATTACAAGTCATTACAAGAGTATGGCTCCTCATTAACCAGCTGCTGTCCATAGCTTGGTATTTCACTTCACAACTATTGTAAGTGTATTGCGGGGATTCCCGACCTAGTTGCAGGCAGCGGTGTGGCATTGCTTTTAAGCTTGTTGAACATTTGCATTACAATGCAAGTTACTCAAAGCAGCACACTATCTCCCAAAAAGGTCGTTATTGTCTGTGATAAGTTCGAAGGCATGAGGGATAGGGTAAGAACTTAATATAAAGTAAGCCTGAAAAATACGCCAAACCCTCTGCTGCCAATGAGAGGCAATTCAAAAGCCAAGCACGGATGCCTGCAATGAACAAAAAACTGGTGTAACATTGGCATACCCGAGTGTTCGCCCCTGTGGGTTGGTAGATTGGTTTTGTTCAGGACAAGAAAGTACGCCACTGGAAATTGAACCAACCAAGTTTAGCAGAGACTTCTTCATGCAGATTTACACAAACCACCATTATTGTACGGGTTACGCACAAAGACATGACTGATTGTGCTGTTCAACTATCTTACCTGCCACTGGTAGTGTAACATTGTGCAGGTGTACAAAGTACCAAAGAATTCCGATCTAGTAGCCGGTTGCTTTACAGAACCATAGTTGTGTTCGGTGATTTCACATGAAAACATACACCAAATCTCATCAAGACACTGGACTTATAAGTATTTTTGAGTTGACGCAAGGAACTCAATATTTATGTCTAGGCTGTTGAAGATAGTGCAAACTGTTGTTCTCCTATGAAAATGTTCTCCAATTATTGTGCATGTATTATTGTGAGTACAACAGATGAACATGAGACCTGGTACACATGCACCGGACCGGACTATGTACAACCGTATAATCTTTCTTTTCTGTTCATACACTAGCAAGGATGCACCAGGGATATCCTGACTTACATTATCCTTTGGGTCCAACGAATGTCCAGAATTAAGTAGATATTCTGCTACTGAAACATGACCTTTCCGTGCTGCAAAGTGTAATGGTGTGCTACCATACTAGAAGTAGTAATGTTAATGAATACAAACCAAGTACACACAAATACACATAAACATACACAAATACACACATACACATGCCGATTCCCAAACACATAAAAATATGCATATGCATGAACGCACACACACTCACGCACACGCACACACACACATACACACACACACACACACACACACACACACGCACACACACACACATGCACACATAGACACACACACACATACATACACACACAACCATGCATGCGCAAAAACACACACACACAAACAAACAAACACAGTTAAAGAGTAAAGGTAACACCGACAATGGCATAGGGATTTCTGGATCATTATCAATGAAGATTTCTTTGGGAATTAATGAACAATTTCTTTGGAGACAAGAATGCAATTTTCACTAGTATACTTTCATGCCTGATCATCAGGTGAAATACAGGCAAAATCCAATGAACATGGCATGGCGCATGTTGTGTGTGAGTGTGTGCGCTTGTGCATGTTCATGAATGTTGAGCACACACACGCAGGCGTACACACGTGTGTGCGTGCATGAGAGCATGCCGTTTACTTTGCATATGCATGCTACTGCAGGTGTGTGTATGTGACGTATTTGTGTGGGCAAGGGGTACTTGTTTGTTGGTGTGATTATGTCTCTCTCTCTCTCTCTCTCTCTCTCTCTTTCTCTCTCTCTCTCTCTTTCACTCTCTCTCTCTCTATATTACTTTCTTGATATCGAACGTATTTACTATTGATCACTACATATCAATTCTTGTTGAGCTTTGTATTATTTATCCGCGCTCTGCTCGTGACGTCCATCCATTTTCCAGTATTATTTTTCTAGTATTGTTGTGAGTGCACACGATGACGTAGGTCGCCATTTTGTCCATGTGATCTTGGTGCGCGAGCCATGATCTTTTTTCTCTTGCTCTTTTAGTTTTAGTTCTTCTTGTGCAAAAGCAAGTAATTGGTCCAATGTCGAGCGGGATGTGAGTGTTGGCAAATAATTTCCGTTTGTCCATGGCAGGCAAGGACCTGAAGGTGAATGGATGCCTTGATAGGATCCGGGCACTGCGAACAGCAACCGACACCAGAGTTGGTGCAGTGTCCGCAGCTGCCACATTTGTGCAAGACAGTGTTGCCACGCCATCACCGCAGCTTTGCTACCATTGTGGAGAACCGGGCCACTTCAAAAGGCATTGCCCGAAGTTATCCCTAGCAGGGAATGGTACAAAACAAGAGCACCGGCGCAAGGACCTGTTCTGCCACTTCTGTGACAAGAAAGGGCATGTCAAGAAGGACTGCGTGCTGAGACAAAAGTGGCTGGATACACATGGTAGCTGCTAAGTTGATGGGGCCTCAGTCTACTCCAAGGGTGTGTACTTCCTGGCATCTGCATCATCATCGTGCCCGAAGCTACCTCGTGTGTTTGTTGAATGTGCTGGTCCTAACGCGAGTGACAGTGAGCGTGCTGCAGCAGTGATAGACACTGGCTCCACCCGGACGTTAGTAACAGAAGCCCTGCAGCATTGCCTTGGTCTCGATGTGACGCCACTGACGAGTAGTGACAGTGTTGCAGCGCTGGATGGCAACACCATGCAGACGTGTGGTACAGTGACCCTCACGTTTTGGAGGCATGACGGACCAGTGAGTATACATGAAGTGGTATTGAATGCTGTCGTTGTGCCTGATCTGTATGTAGTGGCCGCCGGCGTACTGATTGGCATTGACCTGGTGACTTTGTGTGGGCGCCTGTCTGTAGAGTATGCGAATGATCAGCTTGTGCGTGTCGTAATTCGGCCCGGTCCAGCTCACGCAGATAGTAGCCCGCCAGTGCAATTCGCATCAGTAGCTGTGGCGCCTCCTGAACAGTCTACACGATTGTTAGTGTATGAGGATCAGCTGACCGATGGTATGGCCCCTAATGCTAACAACGAAGTTCTCCAGCCAGTCGCCGATGACTCACCAATGCCTGCAGCTCCGACGCGCCCGCCTTCAAAGCTGTCTCATCATGTCCAAGTAGAGAGTGACGGCAACGATGTCATCCTGAAGGTTGACGACGGCGAGATGCATTGGATGTCGGCGGAGAAGCTTTGGGAGGTTAAATGGGTATAGAAGTCTGGTGAAGAACCAAATGGCTGTGATGGTCCGGGTATCAGCGAGTACCCGCGGAAGAAGATTACGGCAGAAGAGGAGACACAGTTCTTCTCTGCTGTGGAGGAGTGGATTGAGCGAGGCTGGCTGGTGAAGCACGCCGCTGACACCCATGGTCGCCCAGTCTGTGTCTTGTCGTTGATTGCTGTGAGTCAGCCGCACAAGACGTCTACGCCTGTGCGTCCGGTGTTAGACTATCGGCACTTGTACAAGTTGTTAGTGTCCCACCCTGGAACTAAGTTACCTGTGTACGCACGTGCGTGAGTGTGTGTGTGTGTGTTTGTGTGTGTGTGTGTGTTTGTGTGTTTGTGTGTGTGTGTGTGTTTTTACTATTATTCACAAACCCAACTCGTAAAATAAATAATTATGTGGACAAAACAAACAGCTACTGAGCAGGGGCTGCACTGGCCAGCAGTGGTGGTGAGGTACCAGGGGCTCCACCGACCAAAGGTCTCGGCTTCAATGCCACAAGCACGCACCAGGAAAAAGAAACAGAAATGTAAAGCAAAGCTAGATCTAGCTATGGGGAAGTAGAATGGGTAAAAGTACCGATTGGTGTTTAGAAAAATAAAAACAAGATGAAAAGAGAGGTTCTAAGTTCGTAAGATGAAAAGAGATTGTAAATTATCAGTGTTTGGACTGATGTACAATGTGCATGTACATGTCAACTTCATCAACCAAAACTTATGAACCTTTTCATTAGATCTGATCATGATGATGATGATGATGATGATGATTGTGTGTGTGTGTGTGTGTGTGTGTGTGTCTTGAAGTAGCATTACGGTGATAATGCAGATTAATGGGTGCACGCAGCTTTGTGCTACCGCTCAATCTATGCTGCTGGGTTTAATAGTGCTGGTACTGCATGCTCATGATTTGCTGCTGGCTATAGTCTCTGTGCGGCTTGGCACTCTGCATGATATTGAATGCTTCTCTCTACCTGACCTTGAACGTGTCTCTGACATTGAACGTGTTCATGCGTGTCGTTCGCCTCCGATGTGGAAAGCGTGTGGCGGCGCTATTATGACGTTTGCTTGTAGCGCTCAACGTGGGTGGCATGCATCGTTGCATGTCTTGCTAGAGTTTACTCTGCTAGATATTTCGATCCGTTCTGTGCGACGATCATTCTTGCTTGCTCGTAGTGTTTCACCCTCCCACCTCCCATTTCTCATCACTAATTTGCTTTGATAAAGTGAATAAACGGGGTGTTGGCCACGCTCACTTCTGGCTACTCAGGGCCCTCGGTCGTCGTCCCTCAGATTCAGACACTTGTAGATACTTGGCTGCGCCAACATTCTGCTTCGGCAGTGTCTACACGGCCGACTCTGAATCTTCTCTCGTAGATACTTGGCTCCGCCAACATTCTGCTCCGGCAGTGTCTACGTATTTCTTCCTGTAGCCTCTCACTCCGCTGGCCGGCACTCCCCCGTACCGCAAGTTGCTGTGTGTTGTAGTTAATGTGTGTGTGTGTGTGTGTGTGTGTGTGTGTGTGTGTGTGTGTGTGCGTGGCCATTTCTTGGCAACTGTCGATAGTAGTAGTAGTAGTAGTAGTAGAAGTAGTAGTAGTAGTAGTAGTAGTAGTAGTAGTAGTAGTAGTAGTAGTAGTAGTAGTAGTAGTAGTAGTAGTAGTAGTAGTAGTAGTAGTAGTAGTAGTAGTAGTAGTAGTAGTAGTGTGTGTGTGTGTGTGTGTGTGTGTGTGTGTTTTCGTGTGTGTGTTCGTGTGTGTGTGTGTGTGTGTGTGTGTGTGTGTGTGTGTGTGTGTGTGTGTGTGTGTGTGTGTGGTGTGTCGTTCTGTGGATGGTTTTGATCAACAGAAGTCTGTAAATATTGAGTTGATTAAACCTGCTGTTGAATCTAATGTGTTGTCGTGTGAGTCTAGTTCTGTGCCTGAATCGCCAGTGCAGTGTGATCTCGATATTCTTACTTTGTAGCTGAGTCCAGGCTCATTGGAATACTTAGCCGAATTCTCCGCCGGGCTCTAGTTCCCTAGCTTCTCTAAGAATTCTCATTACAGACTCCTTTCTAGTTTCGAAGATATCTATATTCTTGTGTATCTGTTCTCAAACAAATTCCTCGTCTTGTGCCTGTGTTCTCAAACACATTCCTCATAGAGATGCATAACCAGTTGAGAGCATTCTACTGCCTGTAATTCTGGTGAAGTAAAATAAAGTAACAACAACAACAACATCCAGAAACTCGTGCAGAAAGCACCAGCATCGCTCCGTCCAGTTTGCTAATCTCTCTCGCAGTCGTTCACGATGTGGCGGCCGACGAATCAAGATCACAGAAGTGATCGTCGAGAAGTTGATCGAAATAAATAACCGGCCTTGAGGTCGACTTTCAAGCGACAACCTGGCTGGAAAACTGAAGCACAGAAAGGGTGAATTATCCGGGGAATACGGTGCGGAGTCCTCGGAGCCGCGATCCCGATGCGTCAAAAGATCGCCAGTCTCCAGGGCCAGTGGATTCGTGAAACAGGCAGCTCGCAGGGAAGAGCACGCATGGTCTGACTGCATGACATGTCGACACAGATCAGACTCATGATCAGTAGACCTACTCGCGCGGTACACGGTGGTCAGAAGTGATTTTTTATGCGTGGTGGTTTACTTGTTCGCCTAATTCGAAGGTGTTGTGGGAGCTTCAGGCGAAAACACCTACAGCCACCATTCTGGTAGTCGTACTGCACGAGAAGGAGGCGAAGTCGATCGTCTAAATCGTGCCTATGGATTGAACAAATCAAAGAGGCGCAGTGTAGCTTGGAGGAGATGGAAAAAATGTCGACGTTTTGCAGGTTGACGCTCTTGCAGATGCGCCCTGAGACACCAGCAGCGATGAAAACTAGAAGGTCAGGCCAA